AATAATGAAATGAACTGAATATTTAGATCAGTGAATATTTAGATCAGAACAGTATATTATTGTATAGTGTGGCACAGCTATATCCAATTCTGTATACCTGGCTTTATATTATAAACTTTTTATAATATAAAGCCAGGTATGCAGAATTGGATATAGCTGTGCCACAATATACAGTGTTCTGGTCTGGAGTCTGGACATGTGCTCATCTATTTTTCCCACTATGGGGATACAAGCCTTAGTTAGCAATGGCATGATAAATATTCATTTCATGTTCATGTTCTTCATAATATTAAGACACTGGCCTAAAATCATGATTTTGTATTGCTTTAGAAAAAATGTGACCTGTCCCTTTAAGAAAAAGTATCTATAATTGGTATCGGCGAGTACTTGAAAAAGTATCGGTACTCATACTCGGTCTTAAAGAAGTGGTATCGAAGCATCCCTAGTGTATAGAGATCATTGTAAGATCTTTATTGCTCCCTCTCTCATGTCTCAACTCCCTAGCAATACCTGGATAACAGCTGTGAAAAATTTACAGATCGCTTTTACCTTCAGCAGTCTGTGTCTGTGATTACTCTGACTGGCTATAGTAACATCATCCTTCCTGTCTCAAATGGCTAAAATGTTTCTTCATCTGGCTTTCCCATATATTTACAAATGTAACAACCAAAACAGTTTTATAAAAATACAATTTTATTAGAAGGAAAATGTTATTAGGTCCTTTTTGCTAAAAGGTGGATGCTAAACGACCAGAAGATGGTATGATGGCAATTTCCAAATAATCAAGTGATCCTCAAATGTATAGCCAGATTTATAGCAAAAGCTAACTGCTGTAGCATCCTGTAACATGTGATCTTACCTGTCTGTTATCTTTTATATGTATTTATATACTGTACATATAAATATGATCAAGTCGAAATTGATATGGACAATCTGATGTTTGCATCCTATATTCTCTAATTTTAGCTGTGGCTCCAATGCCAATAAATATATCTGGATATTATTAAGCTTTATAACAAATGTTTCATCTGTTGGCATTATTATTTTATATACTTTTCCAATGTGTTGCAGTCATTGCAGACTCTGCCTACCCTATGATGGCTCCAGTCTCCCTCTTTTTACTCCAGTTGTAAATATTCCCTAAGCATCTCCAGTAGTCTAACTTCTAAAGTGTAATTACACACTATTAGATGTGAGTACTTGATGCTGTCTGCCTGCAATGCAACAATAAATTGTAAAATAAAGTAATTTATATTTAATTAATGTTTCCTCATATACGTTATGAAGAAAATGTACTTTACCTAAAGTCTGTGCTGTGTACCTTCCTCTCTATCTGGGTACTGTTTCACCACATTTAAACTTTCAAGCCAAGTTTGAATCAAAATAGTGACCGTAAGAAAATTTTTAGTAACAACATTTTGAATCATCAGAATAGAAAAAAAACAAAAATGTTTTGCCCATTGGAATGCATTGCTAGATTCCTATTGGCTATTTCAATTTGCAATAGCCAATAGCAAACTAGCATTGTACCCGCCCTCTGCTGATGGACCTGATGGAGAACTGCAGCAGAGGGCGGCTCCCTGGTTCAGTGTCCCTGGTTAGCTCCCTGGTTCAGATCAGTGTCCCTGTTTAGCAGGTAACCAGGGACGCTGATCTCTCTGCAAGTGGCCGGAGCCAGCCGTAAGATCACGGCCGGCTCCGCCCAGCTGTCAGAAGCAGGCTGTCGGCCAGCCAACCCCCAAGTGTTTGTGAGAGGCAGCAGGAATCAAATAGTCAGTCTGTTTGGGAATACCTCTCCTGCACAGCAAACAAGCACGGTATGGGGTTCCCAGATCACCAAAATAATAACAAAAGGGAGCAGAGTGTACTATAAGAATGTCTGAATGGAAGAGTGAACTACTGAGCAAGTAGGCTATAATCCCTGTATGCATTGCAAGGTTTCATATTCAATTCAGAGCGGACTGCACATTTTATTGTTACCTTAACCAGTAGTTCTTGTCATTCAGATTATGTTGTGCTTTCCTCTTTTTGTTTCTCTTCAGATGCAAATATTTCTAAAGTGAGGCTTTGAGCTTCCCCTTATTGAAAAAGGTTAATGTTTTTAGCATATATTTACAAATCTCTTTTGAATTAGAAAAAATGACCTGACATTATACGAAACATCTGTTATTTTTCATGTATTACTGTCTCTTTAGCATATACAAAGATCAAGCTGCTCTGCAATCACGTAGTAATTAATTCAGCAGAGCGCTTGCTTATGTTCAGTCTAGCGGTATAATTAGTTAATGTACATTAGTTAACTTCTATTTCCTGGCCTATTTCAGATAAAGGTATACACTAAAGTATCCTATACTTATTGTAAAAGAAGAATACAGAAAGTAAAATGAAGAGTTGTGTTCCCCTTAGTTCCATCCTAATATAGAGATTTCAAGTTCAGAATTATAATACATAATGTTGAATAGTTTAGAAGGGAGAAGATATAAATGCCGGTGTTGTAATTTAAATAAAATGTTTATCTGTAAAATAAATAAAGAATACATTTGAATGATGGGCCTCTTGAAGATGGCTGCCACATTAAAGGTTTCTATCTCAGTGTTTGGTGTCCCTCTTCCTCGCAGTCCACAAGTTTATACCATCTCTCCCTTCCCCTGGGAATGCACACACACACATTGAGGGGAATTTATCAATACTGGAGTAGACAGAATCTGGAGCAGTTGCCCATGGCAACCAATCAACTTCTCTCTTCAGTTTCTTCAGTTAAGATTTGAAAATTAAAGAGAGACGCTGATTGGTTGCCATGAGAACTGCTCCAGTTTTTGTCTGCTCTTGTTTTGATAAATTCCCCTCATTGTGTTTTTATAAGAATTAAACAATTTTTTTAAATTCCCTTCAGGAATAATCATGTGGGCCTTTGTCGCTGTCCTCACTATTATAATATGAGGCCAAATATTGTGACATCATCAACAATAAAATGGATATTACTATTTGTTTTAAGATATTGAAGATATTCTTTTGTATAAAACTGCCTATTATATAATTTCCAAGCTAAGTTTAATCATATCTGGTTTTTACTGAACACATTAAATATTTTATTCTAACAAGCAAAATCTGGGAGTACATATACAAAAAAATGTTTTATGATTTTTGATCTCCGTACTTGACTTGTTCCATTATGTCAAATGAAGCTCTAAATTTTGCCTTGGGTTGCAATTACATTGTGTTTTTGCTAAGCCAATACTGAATGTGTGTGAAAACTGGCACATAGATTTACAATAAGATGTTTTTGCCATCATGAGGCTTCAATGGCAACCATACTACCAACAGAGGAATCAAAGCTGTGTTTGAAGAAAGAATGAATATGTGTGTTTAAATATATTTTGGGTGGATTGAAAGTATGAGAATTACAAATAATATTACTGTTACTTTATGCCTTTAGTCTTGGTAAACAAAAACCTCTAAACATAATAAATATAAAAAAGGTCTGTATTTCACATCAAATGTTATACTTAGAGACAGGTAATTTCAGTTGGTCACCTAGATGAGATATGACCCTAGCATTATCTGCTCGGGAGCTAATGTTAACTGTTTTAAAAAATAAATAAAGAAAATTAAATATATATAAATATCATTAACATATATATTTTAAAAAACAACATATCTAAAACCATCTACTTGCAAACTGCTAGTGGACCCGGTTTTTAAAGATCAAATCACTTTTACCCACAGCAATTTAAATATAAATGTTTTTAATACAAGCTATAGCCCTAATGTGTGCCCTTTTACCCAGGACACAGGCATGTTTTAAAAAATATTTATCTAGCAAATTTGTTACCTCAATGGCCTATGTTGGCAGGCTTTGGACAGGTGACAAAGGCATCAGTTTGACATCAGTGTCATAATTCATTGACAGGTACATTAGATCTGTAGTTGACCCCAAGGTTGCTTGGATTTTACCTGCTTTAATCTGGTTTTGCGTCCCCATAGACTTTTATGGAAATAAGAAATCCCCTAGTAGTAAATAACAGTGCATGGCACGGGCCCTAACTCAAGCCCAAGTATTCGCTTTCTGATAGTTACAATTCAGTGGCAATGCTGGCACATTGCCTCCCCCATCCCATGCCACCTAATGTCTTCCTCCCTGGCTGTGTACCCTCATCCTCTGCTGACTAAAGGTCCCTACTCTACGTGAGGCAAATTAGAGAACCTGCCTATTGACTATTGCCTGCAGCCAAATGCAACATGTTTGTGGGAAGCATACCGGAAGAGCAGACACTCTATATTCATCGGCTAAACTTAAGGAAAAATTACCCTTGCTTCACTTTTAGCCAGATAATCATACCACTAGCAGGGGGGGCAATTTTTAGTTTACTGACACCTGCAAAATGAGTTTCATTTCAAATAATGTATAGCTCATTTTTTAATAGTTAGACAGCCATTCCAAACATTTCAGCCATATAGTATATTTCCAGACAAATAAATACAGTAAATAAAAGACCTTATTTTTTATTTAATGGGATGTTTTGACAACCATTTTGATAATGTCTTATGGGACATGAATCAATGAATGTTGACCAATATTCCACAAAAATTGAATCTAAACAAAATGACATTTGCAATGAAAATGGTAAGTTTTAAAATATATCCCTTACTGTATTTTATCTTCGTAAACAGGTAGTCCCTGTTGAGGTGCTATGGGTCAATCAACTCACAAAAATAAACACCACCTAACTACGGGCACTTAGCTTGTAGATTGCTGTTTTGAAACCAATCACATTACTCCTTTTATTTCCTGTTTACCTGTTATATTTCAGGTCAGGTTTACCTCTGGTTGAATTAAGAGTTCAATAATCAGCTCTTTGATATAAGATACGTAAGTTGACATGTAGACAAGTTCCAATTATTCTAATAATATGCAATAATCTGTGAGAAATTACCAAAAGTAAAACCATGAATTGTGATGTGTAGTTTTTAGATAACTCAATTACAGTTTATAAGCTTACCTGGTCTTGTGCCTTCACCAGAAGGCCATAGCTCTCAAGATCACCTTCTCGGTCAATATCTTGTGACACACATACACGACCTGAATCCCGATCAATAAAAAACTTCTGAGATTCCTTCAAGTTATAAAATTTCTCATACAAAAAATAATGAACTTGACCAAAAGATCCCGAGTCGGCATCTGTTGCTTTCACCTGGAGAGACACAGAAAAGATGTCTTGTATAAGACTGAAACTCTTTTCAGAACACTGCATTAAAAGGAACACATTACATACTGAAACAGCAATAATTGTGCGTTGTATAGAAAACAATGGGGCTAATTTCTGAAACCTCATGCACATCTAAGTTGAGCTGTAGTCCCTTATGACCAATCAAATATAAAGTTCTATCTTAATGCAGATGGAACAAATAACTGTTAACACTTAGTTATCAAATATCATTCTTTTTTGTTCTAGTTTTCATAATTCAGCCCCAGTATCTGTTCAGAAGTGAATGTAGATGTAATATTCAGACATCTGTGTTTCAAAATCATTTGTAATAAATATCTGTATATCCCGTGCATATATACTAGAATACATTTTAGATTAGGAATACTTTGTAAAATACAATACACAGTACACAATGTAGAAATTTTAGTAGTCCAAAAGTACAGGTATCTTTTTCTTTATTATTGACATTATATATGAAGATTCACCTTGTAGGCATCGTAACACACAATTATTATAGAAGCAAACATGCAGCTACAGTAAATGTTTTCCCATATGGCATTTTATAAGCTCTTGTTATCCCTTTATCATCATTCTTCTATTAATCCTTATCCTTTAAACCCATTACTTCCTCGGTGATGCTAAGCATCTGAAGTGTAACAAATAAATCAGATGCCCTTAGCAAGGAAAACTTCAAACTTGTGTGCTTGTTCTGAGACTTGAGGTTGATTTACTAAAAGAGTAGAGGCTTTTCACTTAGCAAAGCTTTTGTTCAGCTTAACCAGTGTGTATTTATGTAGTTTAGTAAAATCAGTAAAGCTGTGTTAATTTTGAATACCCAATCATGTGCAAGGGAAATTAAAAAAAAAGATTTTTGCTTCTACATGTATACACAAACGAACACAGCTTTACATTTTTCACTAAGCTAGTAAACACTCACATTACAAAGCAAGGAGTCTATATTCCTTTAGTAAACCAAAGTAGTGATTCACTTTGCAGGAAAGATGATGGAAGAGAATGGGCACTAGGAAAATGATAGTTTGATAACTAGCAGTTTTAGAAGGAGTCAGGATAGGCAGAACAGGTATTTCTCCCATGTCAGGTCTGCTTTACTTCATACAATGCTGTTCCACACCAATTTACTAGAAGATTGAATATTTTTTAAGAGTTGCATGAGAAAACACATCAAGTGTTGTCTTCTGGAAATATTTGGTATTATTTCATTATTAAAGTGACATTAAAGGATAATTTTTTTCCCTCCCCCCCATGTTAATGTCAACACTTACCTTAAAATGATGTCTCTTAATCCGATATTCCTCTTCTTTCCCCATGTTTTCATCTGTCCCTCCAGCGGTGCGGCGGCTCTCCGATCCAGCGCGGACTCCTCTCTGCTTACAGGCACTTCTGATCCAGCGGTGTCTGCATGCGGGTGCACGCGTCCATAGGCTTACCTTGCGTCTCTGCTCGTCTCCCAGCCGAGAATCCGAACTGCACATGCGCCCGCCCCAAGATCCTTTGCGGCCGCACAAACAGTTCTGGACTCTCGCCGCGGGAGTGCGCAGCGATAATGAGGTCAGTCAAAACCACTGTTTAAGCGTTTTTTGTTTATTTTTAAACTTTTTGCCTATATATATAGGCAAAAAAACGGGAGGCTTTAGAACCCCTTTAAACTCAGGTTTTACAGCAACCACACTTATTTTGCTGTTCAGCAGTAAGACACACCATCTAAAATGAATCATATCATATAAGGAAACCACCCAAAAAAAGATTTACAAAATCTGGCAACCATGGTTGGATTCTTCCGCTTCTCTTCCGTTGGGGCCCTCCCCTCCAGTGATGACTTTGTAAATTCTCTCATGTTGCATGGGGAACTAACACTCCCTCTTTTTCTTGTTATTTCACTGGTCAGTACATACTGTTTCGGCACTGAGCGGAGTATGGAGAGCTTAAGAGTGTATTTATGTGTGTGATAAGGATGTGTTGCAGATTTAATAAGTATGTGTTCTGGTATGTAAGTTTTTGGGCGATTTGAAGTTACTGTTACCTCCCCTCTCCCATCTCTGGTCCGTCCCCTCTCCCCTTTCTAAGTTCCCTTCCCTTATCTCTTCTTCCCTCCCCTATATTCTCTCTTACCCCTCCCCCTTGTTTTTTCCCTTTTCCTAGAAGGATGTTTAGTTATGTTGCATTATTCTTTTTATAGGGCTCTGCACAGTGCCATTTCTCTGGTATCTTCTCCTAGTGGTTGCTAATACTTGTTGCTAATCTCATCTGAAATTGCATTATGATAGCAGTAAAAAATACACCGGCGGGGAAAAAAGTTTGAACATATATATTTATATAACCCCCAATTTCCTTACAGGAGAGTGTATTGTCAATCTTTTTCTGTAGAGGTCCCTGGGAATGCTGAGTATCCCAAATCCCATGAGAAAATGCCTCGGCACAGTGCAGGGAAGTTTTCTCAAGGCATCTGGGATCCTTATCATTGGCAGGATATAATTGGTGAAATCACTCTCACAAAGGTACCGCAGGCAAAAGCTGGGGGTAAGGTAAGTATTTTATGTATACTTTTTGTTTTTCCCATAGGTGCATTTTTTTACTGCTCTCATACTGGGATTTCAGACGAGCAAAGGAGACCTGATGTAATAAGTGGACCTTGCCTTTAAGTGCTAGCTAGTTTTCTCTATGAATTCTCTTTCTGGTTGCAGTGCAGTCCAAGCTAACTTGATAGGAAGATTAGATATTTATCTCGTGTCATAGTTATGCAAGCTTCACAACAAGAAGTAAAGAATATGGCATGTTTTATTAAGTAAGTGTGACTAGTGTGTGATTCAGGTCTCCAGCAGTCCCCCATTCCCCCTGCACATGACTCTAATCAACAACACTCATGCTCCCTTAGCAGCGTTGTTAATTGGAGCACTGTTCTGGGGCGTGCCCAATTAAAGCTGGAAAACCAAGACTTCAATTAGGCTTTAAAATGCAAGTAGTTAATGTATATCTACTGAATAATTGGCGTACAAGCGTTTTATAGTCCAACCACAGAAAAGAAACTTAAACCACAGTATTTACTAGCAGCAGAGCTCTCATTAATAGTGCCACCCACCCATTTCTTACACCAATCTGTTTATTGTACAGCCATTGCTATACCAACTGAAACATTATTTATAGAAGAAAGAATCAATAAAAACACCACACATGGCTATCTGGAAGAAAGAGACTAAATGTTACTGAAGAGGAAAACAACATTATACCTAAACTCTGCTATTAAAACATACCAGCAAATATCACCAATCACCCAGCTGTGTTACAAATGTCCCTGAAAAGTATATCATAATGCATGTTTCGGTTTCCAGTTTGTATCAGGTTTGCTTCAGTGTACTTTTGTTTATTCGAGTATAATTTTAGTCCTCTGACTATGAGCAGATGTAGATGGCAGAAAAAGTAAATGCTTAATGTCTACAGGAATGATATATGCAAGTTCATTATACGCCTTGTTTACTGATTATTTATCAAAGCACATAATTTCCACATTCCAAATAGAGTGAGCATTAGCTGAATAATTCATACCACCTTTATTTTAGAGGCTAATAATAGCATTTATACTCACATGTGACATGTCTGTATTGGTAATGATGCTCATGTTATACCAATACCAATGCATGACATTTAAAAAATCGCAGTAAATATGAAGTATATACAATATTAATAATATACTGTATGACAGGGCTCAATTTGGGTCTCCAAGTACCGGTCCGCGGACCAACTCCAGCCCGAAGGAGTGTATTATTTTGTGTGTGCGGGGGGAATTTTATTATTATATTTGTGCGGGGGGTGTAACGTTGAGAAGTGTATTATTGTGTTTTAAGCTGGCCATACACCTTACAACCATTGCACGACTTTCGTTGTGCGATGGTTGTAAGATCATTAAAATTTCGTACGATCTGCCGATCTTGGACAGACAGATCGTACTAGCGATAATCGCAAGCCCTCCCCGCTGAAGGGAGGGCTTCCGATCATTGCAGTGCTGAGCACTGATCGAGCAGTGTGCGCTTGCGCACACCGACCTGTGTGGCATTCGTCTTCTGACCACACCACCAACCCGCCTAAAATCGTACGATTTTTGGCATGTTTTCCAGCGTGCTTGGAAGACAAAAGTCATATGACCTTACAGTGAAGCGGTCGCACGCTGTCCATACACCTGCCGATTGTCGTATGATGGCGGGATCACCTGCAACTATCGTACGATAATCGGTAGGTGTATGGGCACCTTTAGTGTATGTGTATATTAGGCCCCATTCACACCTACAGTATATTTCAGGTGTGATTAGGGATTCCTGCGTCAGGAACTTGCGTCTTCCTGCAGCAGTAATCCCTAATCTGTCGTTTACAAGCGGCAACGATCATAAGATAAGAATTATCATCAGATTATTTAGGAGGGTGTGTTTAGGGGCGGAGTTAAGGCCAGGGCAGGGTAAGGGTTAGGTGGGGCAATTGGTGGCTAGTAACTCTTAAGGCCTGGCTAGTAGCTCAGGACTTGACATTTTGTGCCCTGCTGTATGGTTTTGTAGCCAGTATTTTGCACTCTAAATACAGGATTTTTGTATACTTTTTTTTGGACTTTTGCACACTTTTGTACCAACTGTATGTTGAAATACAGAAACAGATTTAGAATAATATAAAGTAATATAAAAAAAAGTGCTAAAAGAGTACTCTTTGTATGAGATGTCTATTACACTGAATGCATTAAGCTAAAAAAAACAACAAAAACTTAATAGAGTTTAAAAGGTTCATATAAGCTAATACTGTGTTTTGAGTTCCTAATGAGCAACACAATTGACTTTTTAAACTAATTCTTCCTAATGTTGCCTGTGATTAACAGTTCATGTGCTTGGCAAAGCACTGAATTAAGAGTTTTTGTTAAAACTTTAAACATAAGTTCTATTAACTCAATGTTCACTTAGTCATGAACTGTAGTTCCCGAATAAAAAATG